AACCACCGCAACACTGATTAGTGGTACTATGACTCATTCTATACCTCTGATGGCTGCTGCAGCTATGATTTGACAGACTTTTAGTTGGTCACCAGTCTTCCTTTATCCTTTTTCATCTTCGTGACATCTCACTGCCAGATTTTAAAAATCCTCTAACAATTCTTTTACATGTGGGGCCACAATACATACATGCAGTTAAGAGTACATCCACGATAGGCGATAGACGGTATGCTCAGCTTTTTGAAGCATGCTCGGGCACTGGAGATATTTTGGCCTAAACTTTGGGTATTTTAACAGTTTTCACTGTTGGGTGAGAGAGGCGGTCTTGGCTGACATGGTTTGTGTGATGGAACTCGTTGTAGGAGAACGAAACGTTGACAATAGGTTGTCCTTGGGTAGGATTACATTCACTGAAAATATGAAAAGATTTGGTTGAATTCTTACAGCAGTAGAGCTTTATACTTCTGACCATTTTTTAGGCGAATTTTGGTCATTTTTGAAAGAAAAAAAAAAACAAGGAGGGGTGGTGAAATCCCTCCAGTTTGACCAAATTTCCTTAAACTTAGACTGAAGTAGTTTTGGGTGGACCCCTTTAAACTGGCAAAGTTTCATTGAAATCGGTGAGATGGCTTGTGCCACCCCCGCCTCGTCCTATCGTGGATGCACTCTTAAATACACTCCATAGATTGTTTTGTAACCGAGTTCGTACAACTGGAAATCACATGAATTCTCAATTTTTGTTTCAGTGATCACAGGTGTACTTTCAATACCTGTCTTTATGAAGTATTTGTCTTTGTATTGTTCATAAGAGAAAATACTATTGTCAGCTTAGAAATAGCACAATTATGAAGAACAGATGCTATTTCATATCATTTGACATTTAAGTGATTCCGCACATGGGTACTAGCACTCACTCTGTCGTATACTGTAACATGGTAAAAATAAGACTTTAAATGCAGAAAACGGAAAGTTACTGAAACTTTCATTTTGTTTATAAAATTGAATCCATGCCTTCATATATGGTAAAATGTTAGATTGTCAGTACTTCAATGCTCCCAAACTACAACGGCATTCATGGTTGATCGTCAATGAATGCAGCTCTTGTTTTTTAAATCCATTCAGCAAAAACTGAAAAACATATAAGTAATATGTAGGCAAGGGGGTTTCTACTTTGAGCCTGTAAAAAAATATTTTCACTATCACTATTTGTCATTTGATGCATGTTCTTCAAGTAGTTTGATTACTTGTTTTATTGTCCTTGTCTGCGACTACGACTCTGGATTTGTCTTATCTGGTTTATTCCCAGAGGTTCAGGGATGAAGCGTGTGGAGGAAAAGTGAGAGGCCGAGTCACAGTAATGCAGTGCAGCAGGTGAATAGCTCAGGAGGGAAGCATAAATATCTTCATGTGAGGTATGAAGGCCTTATTTCTCTACTGGAAAGCACTTCGGCTCAATGTTGGTCGCTTTAAATGTGTTATATAAATAAAAGTGACTTGACTGTAATAGTGACTTCCACTTGGCTTTGTGGGCAAACTAGATTTGATTTCCAGTCCTTGCGTACACATCACATACATTGTTACAGTAGGTTCCAAATCAGTGTTGCCTTTGAGCAAGGCGCTAAAAACCACAAACTGGCCAATGTGCCTCTCGGAAAGTAAAACTGGAGAGAATCGCAAATTACAGGGAATGCAAATAATAAGTGAACAGGGCTGCACCAGTAGCGTCATCAATCCAAATTCTTCACAATAGTTGTCCCCTCTGGTGAGCTGCTTATGCCGCCGTCTTGCATCTGAAATGATGGACCTGCATCTAGCAGAATATCAGCACATGCAAGGGTCAGGTGTGGTTCTTCATAGTGTCTCTTTAGTTTAGGGGTTTTCTGCGATCTGACAACAAGGTCATATGCCTTTCGAAGCAGTTGTTTTCTGAAGATTTTCTGAGGATAAGGGTGATAATAAGTGACACATATTTGCTTAGTTGGTAGATGGAATGGTCTGACCTGTAACGTCAATGCAAGAACTTGGGCATGGTGTTGTTAAAGATACCTCTTAAACAAAGGTATCATCATGAGCTGATCTGACTGAGAGGCAGTTGGATAGTTGCAAACAGGCAATGGAAATAATCTCCTGCTGAGGTACAGTGAACTTACTTCATGCTCTGTTTTCCTGATAAACACACTGGAAAACAATTTGAGTACCACTAAGGTAGGAAGGCGCTGTATAAATACAGGCCATTTACCATTAAGCATTTAGACACAGTAATTTTGTTCCCCTTGATGAATTGTCTCCACTGAGACACCTGAGGTCGTAGTCAGCTGCAGATTACTTCTACAGCTGTGAAACAATCTGCTTTACCCAAAGACTAAATGAAAAGATGGGGGGATTTGAAAAGTGGAGCCAACGCAAAAGGGCCTTAAACCTGCATTTTGTCTAAAGGCCAGCAAGAGACGACACTTCTGGTTGCAAATAGAAGTCTGATTGTATATTAGTCTAAGAGAAAACAAACCTACCAGTAAGGATTTTATTCATGAGTTTATAGACTCTGTTACAAGCTTCAAGAATTTTTTTAAAACGGCGTGATTTTTGTTTGTAACTTGTGCCTAATTTTGAATAAAACAGACAACAAAGCAGGGTGTCTTTAAGGCGGGTCTGCTGTAGTAACTCCCTCTCTCGACATGGCAAAGTGAAAGAGGCTAAAACATAGACAAACAACGCTGTCCTCATCCACAGATGGGTTCAAGTTCATTTTTCTGACCACAAGACGGCCAGCATCAAACACACCTCCTCATTCTAGTTTCTGGTAGTTGGTGCCTTCCAATCACAGGCTGTGGAAGTCAACAAACCATGATTAGTAGGGATCAAGGAGCAGCATCTTACGTGGTGCCAAGTGACTCTGTAATCACCAGACCTGACACAGTGACCATCTCCTCAATTTAACATACGGTTTTAGTTTGAACCTTTGTGCTACCAGACCAGAAACAGGTCGGAGATGATTTTATAGAATGTCACATTAGACAAAAGAGTAAAGGAGTTTTCCCACTTACATCATTTTTGCCTCCATCACTTGCACATTACGCCATAACAGGCTTTTTCAGAACAAGTGCAGAGTCTCAAAACAATCTGGATCGCGGAAAACACTCGGCAGCACAAACACACCCATCTTTACAAATGATGTAATCTAACTCGTGCAAAACGCAACATAACAAAAGTCAATACAATCTGTTTCCAAAAACAATTTAGGGACATCTCATAACTGGAGAGCTGTGACATTCTATTTTGCTAAACGCAGAAATATTAAAATTTCATTTTCAGCGTTTTGTTGTTTGTGACAGGCCGGTAGCCGAGAATAATTCTCCTTATTTCTGTTGTTGTGACTGCTGGGAGGAAAGTGACAGATTGTTTTTGGCAAGTTGCTAATAGAGTGCAGTTTCAGCAATGACAAGTGTCGCTATTTTCTGTTGTGAAGGGACACACTTCTATTACAGATAGGACAGATATCCAGCTTGTCAGGCTGCAGAGAGGAAGGCTAGAAAACATACACCTGCAATATGACACTATTCACATTTAAGAAAAAGAAATAAGACAATTCAAACAATAAATCCAATGAGTAGCTTTTGCAAGTGTAGAAGGAGTTGGAGGAATGGGAGGCGGAGGAATTTTGCCACATCGTTGGTGATCGAAAGGCAGGAATAAAAAAAAGATAGAACCAGGTCTGGAAACTCAGGTGTGGAGTAGCTCACACAATGTAAACTGGAGATAATACGCACGCACAAAAGCATGAATAAAAATGAATATATTAAAGTAAAAATGAGTGGATGAGGGTGTTAGGATGAGAGAAAAAGAGAGAGAGAGACAAAAGGGACAAAAGTTATCTTGAGCTCTTCAGTCCTACAGGGCAGCGAGATGAACCGTCTTCCGTGGCGGCTTACCCCTTTTCCACCAAACTGGTTCTAGTGCTGGTTCGGATTCGGTGCCTGACTTTGCACCAGTTCTTTGTGTTTCCACCACAAAAGCGCCGATATTATCGGCCCACCGATATTGGCATAAAAATGTAACATCGTTCAATATCGTTATCGGATTCAAGTTTTCTGTTGTTTTTAAAGAATGTCCTTTTATAATGTCATATTGTTATTATACAGCCTTGAGTCATGTTGCATTTTACTACACATACTGTATGAGCATGGCACAAATACAAACGTTTGAGTCTTAGGGTCATCGATTTTAGCTTTAATCTTTGTCTTTATTTGATAAATATTTATCTATGCAAAACGTATTTATAACGTCATCTTAAGGCACTTTACATAGCAAAGGTGAAGACCTTTTCCTGTCCAATGATAAGTGGCGCCGCTCATGCTGGCTGACCCGACAGTTCTCCCTCCTGTCTCCCCCGTTATTGGTCATTGTCTTTTTTATGATTCTTGGACGGGATGTAACTGTAAAAGTAATTTCCCTGAAAAGGGATCAATAAAGTCTTATCTTATCTTATCTTATTTTATCTTATCTTATCTTATGTCATGTTATGTCATCTAATCTTATCTTATCTTATCTTATCTTAGCTTATCTTGTCGTATCTTATCTTATCTTAACTTATCTTGTCTTATCTTCTACAAAATCACAGGAAAAGGTGAAAACGTTTCAAAATTACAAAATTACAGGTAATGGTCAACACCTTGCAAAAATCCAGAGAGAAACCCAACAAATCCAAAGTCTCCTATGGATTTCCCCTTGGAGCAAGCACTTGACGACAGTGGGGAGAAAAAACTCCCCTTTAACGGGAAGAAATCTCCAGCAGAACCAGGCTCAAGGGTGGCGGCCATCTGCCTCGACCGGTTGGGGTTAGGGTAAAGGGGAGAGAGAACAGGATAGCAGATAGAAAAGAGATGGAGAAGAAAAACCTTGGCAGTGGGAGAGACAAGACACAAGGTTAGTGACTCTTTATGCATGTATATGGTGGCATATACATGCATAAAGAGAGCAGGGGAAGGATATGTGCTCAGTGCTTCATAGGAGCTTCCCCAGCAGTGACGATCCACAACGTCTTTGGAGTGTGGAGAGAAATCAGAGCACCTGGAGAGAAGCCACACAAACATACAGAGAGCATGAAAACTGCACACAGAAAAGACCAGGGTCTCAATTTAAAGCCAGCATGGGCCACAATGCTACACACTGGACCAACATGCTGCCATCTTGAAGAACTGTGGACCATGTTTGTTCTCCTTGCTACCTACTCTAAGACAGCATTCGTGAACTTCACTCCATCATGTCCACAAAGACGCAGCAGAGGAATGTCATCTTCATCCAAGACCAGACGCGTTTGAAGCGGTTCTTCTTCTTTTTCTTTTTGTTGCTGTCACCACTGTTCTCTGCGTCTGTTTCCTCCTCGCTGCTCTCCTCGTCCTGGTGGTCCTTGCAATCATCTGAAAATCACAAAACATCAGATATGTCATGAATTGGAAGAAGGAGAAACAAAACAAGAGCAACGTAGAATGTTTTAGCAGTTTAGACGTTCAGCAAAAAAGTTGGAATGACGCGTTCTCACCAGATGCAATGGGAGGGAGCTCTGCGTCCTCATTTATGCTGGTGGCGTCTGGATTGAGAGCATCTGGCTGGAGACTAAGCACAAGAATGTAAGAACTTAGTATGTTGGTCCTGTTTAAGGCTCAGTTTTTCTCTTCTGATGGAGGCATGGATAAGTCTAACAGATGAATCAGCTTACCTCAAGTCACTGTCCTCATCAGACGTGTCTCCCAAGTGGATGCAGTTTTCGGGGTCTGCAGGCTGAACCATGATCACATTTGGTCGCCGTACTTCCCTGTTTTAAGAAGACACAGAGGATGAATCACACATTGTAGGAAGCTGCATGCAACTGGTGACGT